TTGTAGGAGGGTCCGCTCTCTGCCCATGTTAGCATGGCTGGTGTTAGTTAAGAGGTATGGGGGGGGGGAGGAGAACAGGACACCTGGGGTTAACTAAACACCTAGGCTACGTCTACACTACAAGGTTTTTGTGTAAGTAAATCGGCAGAACAGAGGGCTTTTACCAGTGGAGTTATTCCTCTCCCCACAAGGTATAACTCCTTTTTGAACTCCAGCTCTTGCGCAAAAAGGCAGGTATGGATGCTCCAGAGGGGTTTTTGCACATCAAACTCCTATCGGCAAAAGCACAGGTGCTCTGATGGCCATTCTGTGAGCTTTCTTGCTCAAGAGTGTCCATGCAGTGTGGACGCTCTCTTGCACAAAAGCACATCGCTTTTGTGACGCGCTTTGAGGTGTGGATGCGCTTTTACACAAGAAGTTTTTGCGGATCATCTCTTCCACAAAAGGCTTCTTGCGCAAAAACCCTGCAGTGTAGACTAAGCCCTAGGGTTTACAACTACAACTTGCGTTACCCTCACTTGGATTTTGTCACCGCAGCAGAATGATCACATGATAAGTTGCCTGTTTAGCCACACACACTTAGAAACAGGCAGCAATGAAGACAGGAGCAAAGCACCCTGAATCTACTTTCTATGTTTGCTCTTTCTGCATGCTTTAATCGACAGTTAGAACAACAACAAGGAATATCAGAACACAAGAATGGCCATACTGGGTCAGACTCCAGGTCCATATAGCCCAGAATCCTATCCTCTGCATTGGTAATACCCTGTGGCAGTGAGTTCCGGAGGTTTATTGTGCCTTCCTTAAAAGAAAACACAGAGAGGAAGAAACATCTCTAGTTTCACCTGACCTACACAACTAAAAAGCTCCCACATCTCATACATGGAATTGATGCCACAATGCAGGATCACCCTTTGTCCACGTGTATCGCCATCAGGCAGATTTGAACCCAGGACCTCTGGAGCTGAGTATAGGAGCCTCTACCATCTGAGCTAAAAGCCAGCTGGCTCCCAGCCCATGCTGCAGAGGTCTCTTGATCTTAACTGTTGCTACGGTCTAGGTACCACTTGCATTGCTCAGTAACCACTCTAGGGCTATGTCTACACTGGCGCGATCTTGCACCAGAGATATGCAAATGAGGCTAAGCGTGGAATATTGCCAAGCCTCATTTGCATATCTAATGAGCTGCCATTTTTGCGGAAGAGACTCTTGTGCCAGAAGGAGCCGTCTATACTGACCCTTCTTGCACAAGAAAACCCCTCTTGTGCAATGCCGCTACGCTGATTATTTTCGGGAATAGCGGCATTGCACAAGAGGGTTTTTCTTGCACAAGAAGGGGCAGCGTAGACAGCTCCTTCTGGCGCAAGAGCCTCTTCCGCAAAAATGGCAGCTCATTAGACATGCAAATGAGACTCGGTAATATTCCACGCTTAGCCTCATTTGCATATCTCTGGCGCAAGATCACGCCAGTGTAGACATAGCCTAGGTGTGTGGGTTACACGCGCATCGGATTTTAGTATGCAAAATCCTGACAATTGTGTGTAATAAGAACAATTGCCCCCCCCCAGCAATAGCTGAACCCTGACTTCTTTCCAAATAGAACTGGAGGGACAAGTGTTAATTTTTGCCGACGATGCTCCAGTCCACAGCACAGGCTTAATTAATGACTGAACCATAAAAACAACAGCCAGAAGGGGTGTCGTTACACAACACTTGGGTGGCGTTACCACTGCTTGCACCAAGGCCGGGGATCGCTCCGTATCTCTCAACAAACCATCAGCCCTTACCACTGTTGGCAACTAAAACCGGAGACCCGCCTCTTCCAAAGGGCGGTTGGTCCCATGAAACATGCAGACGTCAGAACACGGCGCTGCTGGCACGAATCGTTACAGGAGGCATATGGCAGATGCCTTACGCTGCTAAACTATTCAACCTGGCCGTGCCCTGTAAACTGCTAAGCAGACAGGCAAAAGAGCTGCACCAATAGACTCTAAAGCACCCCGCTACTGAAAAACCAAGAGATCTCCAATTCAGGCTAGCAGCTGCTTCCTTCTGGCCCAGTATTTTCCCCAAGTAAATTGTAGCGAATGCAAGTATAAATCACATGATGATTCTGATGAGCATTTGCATAGGCTTTGCAACTGCAGATGCCAAGGCACTTTACACAGGTCAGTACGCATTACCGACTGCATGCAGGTCAGTACGCATTACCGACAGCACAGTAAGCACACAAAGCGGCTTGCCCGTGCTCTAAAAAGGGAGTCGGGGCAGAGTTAGACGGAGAACCTCCATCTCCTGACTCTCAGGATTAAGAACATAGGAATGGCCAGCCCAAAAGTCCACCTAGCCTAGTCTCCTGTCTTCTAACAGCAGCCAAAGGCAGGTGCACCAGAGGGAACGAACAGAAAAGGGATCCGTCCCCTGTCACCCATTGCCAGCTTCTGACAAACAGAGGCTATGGACACTATCCCTGCCCATGCTGGCTATTAGTCATCCATGGACCTAGCTAGCTCTTTTCTGAACCCTGTTAAAGTCCTGCCCTTCACAACATCCTTGGGCAGGGAGTTCCACAGGTTGACTGTGTGTTATGCTCAGACCCATAGAATCCTAAGAATGGAAGGGACCTCAAGTGGACATCTAGTCCAGTCCCCTGCACTCAAGGCTGGAGTGTTATCTAGACAGGTTTCTGACTAACGCTCTTAAAAATCTCCAGTGATGGAGATTCCACGGCCTCCCTGAGCAATTTATTCCAGTGCTTCACCACCCTGACACTCAGGAAGCTTTTAGTGTCCAACCTAAATCTTCCTTGCTGCAATTTAAGCCCACTGCTTCTTGCCCTGTCCTCAGAAGCTACTTTCTGCTGGAACGTGTGCCCCGACAACGCAATGGCTGACTACGTAACAGCAACGTCCTGCCAATGTCATCGCATCCTTTGGTCTTTCCTACCTGGCCAATGCAGACAAGGCCAACCACTGTCATTGTTGAAAGTTATCTGGTGCCGCAGCATGGTAAGACAACATCCCTGCATGGGGAAGGCCTGGAATAGTGCGGGAACCTATTTATAGTGCGGGAACCTGTAGTATCTACCGCTGCTTCCTTGCCAAAGGGAAGCTTTTAAACAAACATTCACAGAGAGGATCACCCTGCTAGCTCTCTTTCACCTTTCGTACGCTCTCGCCACCAACACCACCAGAGGAGCCGGGAATCCTGGGAGCAGGGCAAATGAAGGCTGTTTTGGGCATACGTAAATAGTTCTGCTCGGCTACAGCCAACAAGCTGAAAAAGCACTCCATGTGCGGACACAAGAAGCGACTCAGCAGGCTTAGCGTGCTGGTTCCTGCCCCAACAAGGATCTTATTCCCCATAAACTGCTTGTCTCCCAGCGGATTACCCTGCTGGCCTGGAGGTTCAGGAACCATCACCCAAAAAGAGACGCACACTTTCCATCACGCTGGTTTCACTTGGACACGCGCCTGGAGAATCCAGCAGAGAAGCAGCTCAGGGGAAGCGACTCAGTCGGATTGTGAGTGCACGCAGCTTTGGCGACCAAACTGAACGCGGACAGATCCCCGGAAGGAAAATAGCACACGGTGGCCCAATGGGGAGCGGCCGGCGGGGGGGCTCTACAGAACGTGGGGTTTTATGGATGAACAAAAAGGGCTTCTTGCCAGCCTGGACACAGCAATAGGAAATACACTGTAGAGAGCATCCTGCCCTGGCCAGGCTGGGCTTGATGCGACTTGCTAGGACTTTCCTGACTCTCACCTCTCGGAATATAAAACCAAAGAAGTGGGCACAAGCACAGCAGGGAGCATGTGAAGCCCAGGAATTAGAGGAAACAAGTGAATGACCCAAGCCGAGGGCACCTCTTTCCACTGGCAGGAGACACGGACACAGCAGATGACAAGGTTTTCCATGTCACTCTGGTTTCCCCGCTCTCAACCTCCAGATGAAACCCGCTAGCCAACAACCGGACTGCCCACCCCGGGATGGACTGTCACCTGGCGGGACTTCTTCCAGCTCTAGAGTCAGACTGTAGGGATGTTAAATGCCGGTTAATTTAACAGTCAATTCAACTCATGAATTCTTATCGGTTACTCCGTTATTCTATAGTCCTTGGGGATGGGGCTGGCAGCCAGCACGCTCCAGCCCCACTCCCAAGGAGCCCCCCCGTCACATGCCAGACAGGGGCTTGTCCGTGAGGGGAGCCAGTTTATGAGGCTGGTCCACGAGGGGAGCACCCTGTCCAGAGGGAGGGCTGAGCTCCCAGACCCGGCACGAGCTGGAACTGAGCCGGGCTGCCTGTCCACCTGGCTCCTACTACACTTTAAATGCAGAGCTGCAGCGGGGGTAGGTCCCGGACCTGGCATGAGCCAGGCTGCTGGCCAGCCTGCTAAAAACTGTACTGGTGGGGGTGGAGGGGAGAATGCGGGTAGTCGATAGCATTGACCTAGAAGCTTTTGCTTATTGGTTAATCAGTTAATCGACTGCACTATTACATCCTTATCAGACTGACCTTCCATCCAGACAGCCCCCTTCTCCAGCGCTCAACTGGGCACAGACAGACAGACTAAGGACACCTTCTGTCCCAGCACAGACAGACGGACGACGGTTCCAGGGTGCCACCTCTCCACTAGCATGGGCTGACTGTTCCTGGGCGCCCGCTGCCCCAGTGCCCACAGACAGACAGACATTCCCCGGGCAACTCCCCAGTGCAGACAGACAGCCCCCGGGCCCCCCAGCTCCAACACAGGCAGACAGACAAACCGGCCCCTGGCACCCTACTCCCCAGCGCTCATGGACGGACAGATAGACAGACATTCCCGGGCGCACACACCCCCACCCCGGTACAGACAGACAAACCGTCCCCCGGCGCCTTATGCCCCATCGCCCACGTACAGACAGACAGACGGTCCCCAGCACACCCCCTCCTGCCCCAGTACAGACTGACCGACCCTCCCCGGGCCCCCCCGCCCGGCCCCCCCGGCAGCCCTGCCCACCTGGTGGTGCGTCTCCTTCTCCACGTTGACCCCGTTCACCTCCACCACCCGGTCCCCAGCGCGCAGCGCCGCCGCCTCGGCCGGGGAGCCGGGCTCCACTTTGCGGATGAACTGGCCGCTCTTGCCCTTCTCGCCGTGCAGGTGGAAGCCGTAGCCGCTCTCCCCCTTGCGCATGTGGCACAGCCGGGGCTTCAGCTGGTCCTTGGCCATGGCTGGGGCCCTGCCGGGGCGAGCGCCCCTCGGGGAACCTGGGTGCCCGGCGCGCAGCGGCCGGAGGCGCCGGGCAGCGGGGTCCCGGCTGGATCAACAAGTGGCGGCAGCTGCCGGGCGCGCCCCCTGCCTGCGCTTCTCCCGGGGCGCCTGGAGAGCCGGGCCCCTTACGCGCAGCGCAGCGTAGAGACAGGAGCCGGGCTGCTGCTGCCGCCGCCAAGCGGGGCCATCCTGCGTCCTGTGCGCCCTGCGCTGCGCCAAACTCCCCCCGTGCGCTCTGCGCCGCGGCGCACCCCCTCGCTGCAGCCCCGCCGCTGCCTGCCTGCCTGCCTGCTCCGGCCCGTGCCCGCCGCCGCTACTGGGGCTGCAGCGCCTCCTCCGCGCGGCTCTCCGTGACATTGCAGCCGGGGGAAGAGCTTGGAGGCCAGCTGGGGCCATTGCCCCTCCCCCGAATGCAACCCGGAACCTTCCAGAGCTGGCTGCTGCGGGAAGGGGTGTGTGTCTCCTGATTATACACTCGCCCCCGAACAACATAACCCAGCCACAGCCCAGCACATGCAGCTGGCATTGGTGCTATTCTCCCCCCCCACACACACACACGCGTTGTGTAGGACATCTAGGAAGGTCTCACCCCAGGGCATGTAACATGGAGGCAAGATATGGCCAGGGCCCGGCTGGTCACTGCGTCTTTGAAAGCCACTTTGTGGGGGATGGTTCCTTGCAGCCCTTTGCCAGGCATAGATGTGCCATCCAGAACCGGTTAAACCAGTCCAAGCGGGACGCCCAAATGCACGCCCAGGGAGGAAATCAGACATACGGGCAAGCACAGCGCAGTGAGTTCCCAGTGCAAAGAATGGGAGCACAAGTCCTCACACTGGTGGTAAATAAGAAAATAAAATAATGGGTTTGTAGGGTGATTCCCCATGGACGTTAGTGGGGGTGGTTGAATCAGGCCTTAAAAAAATCCTTTTGGCCAGATACTAAGAGGATCTCTTGGCCCCGGCTCATTTATTTGTCTTGTCACTGAGGTAGGACAGCTGTCCTTGTAGCACGCTGACGTCCTCTAAACATCTATTAATTTGAGGGCAGTTACCGCCCAATCACCTTGGAGGAACATAAGAACGGCCGTACTGGGTCAGACCAAAGGTCCATCTAGCCCAGTAGCCTGTCTACCGACAGTGGCCAGCACCAGGTACCCCAGAGAGGGTTGACCGAAGACAATGATCAAGCGATTTGTCTCCTGCCATCCCTCTCCAGCCTCTGACAAACAGAGGCCAAGGACACCATTTTATCCCCTGGCTAATAGCCTTTTATGGACCTAACCTCCATGAATTTATCCAGCTTCTCTTTAAACTCTATTATAGTCCTAGCCTTCACCGCCTCCTCTGGCAAGGAATTCCACAGGTTGACTACATGTTGTGTGAAGAACTTTCTTTTTATTACTTTTAAACCTGCTCCCCATTAACTTCATTTGGTGTCCTCTAGTTCTTCTTTTTAGGGAACTAATAAATAACTTTTCTTTATCGGCCCGCTCCACACCACCCAGGAAGAGGCCTGGGATATCACACTGATGGGGTGTAGCAGGGGAAAGGTAGAGCGATGCCTAGAGGGGGGGAAGTTTCTCTCTAGGAATACATTACATTAGTATTCTGGCTCAAGGCTGCCAATGCAGATCCCTTATCTCACTTCAGATCTTGTGGTAACTTTCCAAGGAAATAATGTGGCAACGAATCGCATTCTGCTCAGCCCTGCGGTAGGTGCGTAATGGCCTGAGGTCAGGGGTGGGCAAGACAGCCTCTGCGGGCCAGATCCAGCCAGCCTCCATGGGCCAGATCCAGCCCGCCAAGCTGGTTGATCCGGTCGGCAGCCGCCCTGCCGCTCCCAGACCAATGGAAACCCGGGGACAGGGGAGTACGTGAAATCTCCTTCCCCCGCCAGACGCACACAGCCCCAGAGGGAACCACTAGCTGGCCAAAACAGTTCCCTCTAGGCACCGTGTGCCCCTGGCAGGGTGGGGGCAGGAGGCGAGAGACTTCCCATGCTCCCATGCACCTAAGCCCTGATTGGCCTGGGGGCGAGGGAGCATGCAAAGTCTCCCTCCACCCACAGCACCTAGTGTGAACGACCAGCTGTTCAGCTGGCAGTTTTCTCTAGGCACCGAGTGGAAAGGGGGGGGATGACTTCCCAGGCCAATCAAGGTCTGTGGGCAGGGGAACCTGGGAAGTCTGGCCCCGCCCCTTCCACCTGAGGCCCCGCCCCTTCCAGGATGGCCCACAACCACTTCAGAAATTTGTGAAGTGGCCCCCCCCCTTCAAAAATTATTACCCGCCGCTGCCTTTGGCGAGGTTACCTGTTGCCAGCCGAAAGGAAACAAGGGCAGCTGGTTTCAGTTCCCAAGCCCAGGGATCAGCCCGTCATTGGTCTTTGTGGGAGAATTTTAAGCTGTGAAATGCATCAGACCTCTGGCAGTATGCCAGCTTGCCATCAGACCTGGCTGCTCTGTAATTAGCAGCAGCTATGCAAAACAACAGGTCTCTGCCTGCTTGCACAAAGCCATCGGGTGATGTGGAAGGAGGCCAGAGAGAGTCATAAGAACGGCCACCCTGGGTCTGTCCAAAGGTCCATCCAGCCCAGGCTCCTGATTTCCAGCAGTGGCCAAGGCCAGGTGTCCCAGAGGGAATGAACAGAACAGGGAATCATCACGTGATCCCTCCCCTATCGCCTATTCTCAGCTTCTGACAAAGAGGCTTGGGACACCATTCCTGCCCATCCTGGCTAATAGCCATTGATGGACCTAACCTCCATGAACGTATCTAGCTCTATTTTGAACCCTTTTGTAGTCTTGGCCTTCACAACATCCTGTGGCAAGGAGTTCCACCGGTTGACTGTGCCTTGTGTGAAGAAATACTTTCTTTTCTTTGTTTTGCTGCCTATTAATTTTATTTGGTGAATCCTAGTTCCTGTGTAACAAGAAGGAGTGAATACACTTCCTTAGTTACTTTCTCCACACCAGTCACAATTTTATAGACCTCAGTCATATCCCCCTTAGATAGCTCTTTTCCAAGCTGAAAAGTCCCAATCTTATTAATCTCTCCTCAGACGGAAGCCGTTCCATACGCCCCAATCATTTTTGTTGCCCTTTTCTGAAGCTTCTCCAATTCCAATATATCTTTCTTTGAGATGAGGCAACCACATCTGTGTGGGGTATTCAAAATGTGGGGGTTCCTCCATTTGCTGTGTCACTTGAGGGCTTCCCTGAGCCTCCCTCGGGCGTGATGATGTGTTGTCATCCAACAACCTGGCTAATACCAGAGCCGCAGATTTTGAAACACACCTGCCAGTATGTAATCTTAATCCAGGTCGGGACGTCTCCTAGGAGTACACGTGCAGGAACCTGCCCTGTTTCTAGGCCGCTCCCCTTCCTTGTTTCTACATCAGGGATGACCTTGCCCAAAACACGAGGTACCTTCTTGCAGATCTCGCTTTACTGTTGGCTGCTGGTCCAGGCTGGGTGCAGGTAGCACAGGGAGGAAGAATTTCTTGTGAATTGAGGACTTGGGTCAGGCCCCAATTCAGGAAACTACTTGTTCATGTGCCTAACTCGATCCATATCTGCATGGCTCCACTGACTTCATTCGCTTAAGTTAAGCATCTGCCTAAATAACTTGCTAGATTAGGGCCAACCATTCCTTCCTCCTTTGCATTTAGGAATGGTCCAAGTGCTCACCTGTTCCCTGGCTGCCCCTTTTCTTCTGCCCTGGTAAACTCTCACCTGCAGGGGAGGATTCTACAGCCCACGAGGATTGTTGGGAACACAGGTTTGGTACAGCCTGCGCTGTGATGGGCGGGAAAGGTTCCCATCTTTCTCGAGGAGCTGGAAAAAAGCCTGAAAATATTCCTGCATCCATGACCATCTTAACACCACATGGAAAGAATTACCTCCCCTCACAAGCAGCTCTTGCAAAGTGCTTAGGGGTAATACAGGTTGAACCTCTGTAGTCCGGCACCCGGAGGACCTGACCGGTGCCAAACCAGAGAATTTGCTGGACTATGGGAGGTCAGTATTGTCTAGCAGCATTACCTACACTTCCCCTGCTTACTAGGGATGTGAAAGTGTAATCACATGCATCTGGCTCCTAGGAAGCTGCCTCCCCCCTCCGCCCACTGCATCTGTATCAGAGGCAGCAGCATGGCAGGACAGGTGGGAGCTAGTATGCATGGAGAGCTGGCTTAAAAGTTAGCTCCCCACACACACCGGCTCCCGGGAAGCTGACCGCCACCCTGCATGTAACTGCTGGAATTTTCTGCGGTATCACGATGACTTATGCACATTTTGACATCCCTTCTGCTTGCTGGGCTCTTAGAAGACATTTTGGGCTCAATTAGAACTAAAGACCAGCACAGGACACTGAGAGCCAGGATTGGTGGCAGGAAACAAACTTTATGGGACTGTGGGAAACTTGGCCACATCCACAGTAAGTGGACATCCGGCTCACTAAAACCATGCCGGACCACGGATGTTGCTGAACCAAAGAGGTTCAACCTAAAGCTGGGTTTCAAACACGTTTTACATCCTCCCCCCCCACACACACACACACCTACCCTCCGCATCTCCATAAAAAAACAAACCACACACACCCACTGCAATTGCTACCTTTACTGAATTGAATATAACGGCACCACAATGAATGGGCCAGTGCCCAGCTGGAGTTCTGCATTTTAATTTCTAGGGGCTCGGATATGGATAAATATTTAAGTTCTGCGTGAGGTGGGGAAGTTCACGGTAGATGTATGCTATTTGGCTCAGCAGAATTTGGAACCTGTTTTATTTGACATCTGCTTCAAAGCAAACAGGTTTATTTATAATTCATGTATCACAATTCATTAGGCACTTACTTTTACCCATGTGCTAAACTCAGTTTGCACTGCGGTTTAGAATATTGCATAATGAATGCATCAGACATCCAGGATAAAAAGCCTGACACTTTCCAATATCAGAACTCTTGGACAGGCTTTCTACACGATATACAGCTTAGCCCATCGTAAGCGACTACTCCAGGGATCAGCAAAAATCAGTGTGTTCAGTGGTTCCTGAAAAAGGCAGCATAGGAATATATCTCTGAGAGGAGCTAAGGATGGTCTCTTAAGACAGAAGCTTGCTTGAAAAATGTTGACGGTGCAGTGACTGTCTGTTGCCTTCTTTTGATACTCGCTTTGGCAGAAATAAAAGTTCACATAACTCCCTCGCATCCCTGTCCTCCCAAAGAGGTGGAATCAAGAGGACTCAGATGTAGCTCTTCCTAGATTTGCTGTTGTCTTGGGCAAATCACGGAACCTTTCCAAAACTCATCGGTTGGTGAAGTGTAGAGGAAGCAGGTAATGTCTACTGTCT